ATACCTTGTTGCCAGTGGGACGCACTGTAATTGTAGTCTGTGAGGAAGTAAAGAGATATCTGTGCGAAGACAATAGAGTGTGTAACTTCTCCTTTCCCCAACAACAGTCCGAAACACAAACGAAACAATGTGGCTGATAAGCCATGGTATGACAGGTGTGCGCCATACAAGCCCAGCCGGGCCCCGATGCACCAAACACCTAGCTAATCACAAAGGGAAAGAATAGACGCCATCGCCATGCAAGTCTTGCGTATGTTTACAGTTCAGGCTTCCCGAGTCATGGATTTCCACGGGGCTGTGGAGTGATTTTCCTCCGCATCACCGTCCGAAAGCCGCTTTCATATGTCCGCGTCTTCGTGTTACGTTTGTTCCTCCTTCGGGCTCTTAGTACGGGACTTGGAGCGTTCGCGAGTTACTGCGTCTTTCAGCGCCTTCAGTCGTTCTTCGGTCACACGAATCGCTTCGTCCATCTCCCGCGCCTGCATATCATGGGGCGCTAGGGGCTTCTGCGTTCCGTCTTCCGGCTTGATCCGCGATCCAGCGATAGAGCTTTGCACTCTGTCTAGGGCAACTCTCTCTTCAAGCCAGTTCCATAGATCCGACTCTTCATGACGCCAAATCTCTTCGTACGCAACTTGACGTTGAACAGTGGACCACTGGTTTGGGCCGGTGACTGCAGATCCACCACGGAAGAACCATGTGTACATAAGGAGGGCTCCCATAAGGAAGATAATAATCTGCGGTGTGAAAATGGACTCCAGGATATCGGCGAGTGGGCCGAGGAGACTGCGCAAAGGTTCCAATAATCCCCAATTGCTTTGCTTCGCTTGACTAGTGGGAGCGGGAGCGGCGGCAGGCATTGGGGCCTCTTCCAAAAGATTGCCCTTTGAGCGCCTCTTTCCTTTTCCGCCCTTTCCGGGTAACCGAGATGGGCCGGCTTTCGCTGCGCTCACGGCAGTGCGGAGAGCGGCAGTAAGGGAAGTAGCATACGACATTTGACCGTCGTTCGCACCCTTCTCGATGGGACCTAGAGAGTGTCAATATATCTCTCGACTTAGAACAAGCACCACTACTTACCCTTCAGCCAACTCTTTCCGCTCCATTCTACTGTGAAGGTCATGATAAGTCGTGTACTGTTTCCCGGTCCCCACATCAAGCAGTATCTCGTCTTTGTAAGAAATATACTGCCGTTGGGTACATCAGGTGTCGCTGTGCTGCACTGCACACTCACAGCCTTATCCAGATCGTATTGCTCGAGATTCATGGCAATATTGCATTTTGTCTGGCGCGGTCCAACAGGTGCATTTAGCGGTTTGATGTAGGAATAGTTGAACGTTTTCACGTCTTCACCCAAGCCCTTTTTGTCATCTTCCATCTGGAGGTCCATCGACTTTTGGTCCTCAACCAGCCATTTGCGCATGAACACGCCAGAAGCGGGGCCGAACATTAAGCTGTAAACCTTGCCCAAAGGTGCTGGGATAGTTGTGTCAATGAGTAGTTTGTCGTAATGCTGATCGTTATCGCCACACTCAGTAGGTGCGTGTGTTGCTGAACCAGGAAAGTCTTGTCCTGCAGCCGCAGCGCCACTCGTGGCTGCTTTGGCGGCTTCAGTCGTCTCGCCACCACCACCAAAGGCTTGTGATACTGCACCGCTCACTTTCCGGGTGGTCTCGCCTGCTACGGAACCAACTTCACTACCAGCTATACTACCTTCACCGGGTTCGGTGAAGCTGCCAGTGCCCTCATCATCGTCCGCATCTTCGTCGTACACCTCATCATCTGAATCTTGAAGGGAACCGTCATCACTGCCAATAGATTCTGCCTTCTCAGTCTTGTCGCCAGTACCACCGGAACCATCCAGAGTTACACCATTCAGAGATGACTTGAGGTTGGGATGGGATATTTTCCAGATGCCGATGATCAAGTCGTAGGTAGAGTCTCGCGACAGGAATGACGCAAAAACATTGCGAGCATGAAGCGTCTGAATAACGATGGCATTCGGGAACAGCACGGCTGTGGACTTCTTCTCGACAGACACAACCTCGTCAAAGCTGATGACCAAGTTCGTGACCCATCCGAGAATGTTACTGGAGAAGCAAAGATGGCCCTCGGAAACGTACAAACGTCCGTGAAGCAGGATCTCTTTCTGAAGGGCTGCACTATAGTCCTCGATCAGATAATCGTCCTCGGGAACGCTTTTGAACAAGGCATGGAAATCCTTATTTCGCCTAGGGGGTGCAACCGCGAATCCAGTTCCGTTTAGACGGTGGCTGTTCAATGCTGCGCTTGGAGCCAATGTACTTGTGCTCGCAGTGATGACCCCGCCTAAAGTATTTCCGGTTGTAGCGGAGCTGCCTCTATGCCGTCTCCGTCTGCCACCGCTTATACGGCTGCGTATGCTACCTTGGCGTCCGATGGATGCCGGTGAGTCTGTTATTTCAGGTTGTCGTGGAGGAGACGCTGCACCCGCTCCTGACTGACCAGAAACAGCTGTCAGTGATCGTGGACGCTCACTAGCAATCGATGGAGGCTTTTCCCCTGCGTAAGCGGCAGATACGGCTTGTGCAGCGGCTCTATCCTCGACCTTGGCCGAAGCTTCATCCGCCTTCATCGTGACGTTGGTCGCGGATGACATGGGGCTGACCTCGTTGCTCTCAGCAATGCCAAGTTGGGCTAAGCTCAAGTTTCCAGATCCAAGTGTTTCAATGGCAGGTCGGCGCTTCTCAGTACCTTCGTTTGTGGTGGTGTCGACGTTCTCGGGTCCAATAACTTCTTCGCCGCCGTCAGCAGTATTGTCCTCGTCTTTCTGCTGTTGCTGGCTGGGTTTATTCTTCGGATTTGCGCTGTTCGCAATGGTGTCGCCTAAGTTGTTCGCTGCGTTCTGAGCTGCGGAAAAGATGGAAGCGAAGAATCCACCAGGCCCGCCAGGAGATGACGGAGGTACAGCAGTCCCTCCGGGGGTTTTTGCTTCCTCAAGATGAGGGGTGAGGGGCGGTATTGACGAATGCGATAGCTTACTTGGAGGATTGGTGGCTGATCGTACGCGTCTGTGCGATATCATATTCCCCGAGGGGGATACGACTACGTTGGGGTTTGTCTCAGTATTGGTGCGTTTCACAGTGTTTTTTGAGCTATTCAATTCTGTCGGAGAAGAAGCCTTCCCGTCTGTCGGCGTGGGTGGAGTTATGAAGGTCGTGGGGGCATCAGATAAATTGGGAGGAGTCGCGGGGAGCGAGGTGATGATGCGCTTTGGGGCGACAGATCTCAACGACGGGGTGGACTTTGTCTCCTCCTCTGTGTGTATCTGTATCTGTGGTGGTGAGGCTTGAATCGGATCATCCAACACCCTTGTCTCGCGCTTCTTCCCTCCAAACAGCGCTCCTAGTCCACCTCCGCTCGTGCTCGGTCTTGCGGGCTCAGGGCTAGCACCAGGCTTAGGAGCCGGAGACGTGGATCTGCGATTAGGAGTAAAAGCTTCCTTGAGCTTGCCAACAGGAGATACGCCCCGCTTGTTCACAGCGACGTCGCTGGTATTATTTAAATTCCGGGTGGTGGGCTCCTCGATGGAGGTTTCGGAGTTTACGAGAGTGACATCGGTGGAGTCTGCAGAATCGAGGGTCTCGGAAGCGATCAGGGGCGACGACAACGTCAAGAGGCCGGCATGCGACTGATGTGGTGATATGCCAGGGCGTTTGAGTGGTGGAGGGCTGCAGCCGGTTAGTCGGAAGGCAGGAGCCGAGTGGGTACGTATGCGACAAAAGACTGGAAAGAGGGGTGAGGTGGGTAGTAAAAACAAATAGAACAGCGAAGGCCAAGAGTGCGTATTGCAATACGGATGCGATGATGCACGAGGTGTGGTGTGCTAGTGGGGGAGCTGAGGCCAGAACGTATGCTTGTTCGCGGTGGAGTCCATGCTGAACGGCGCCAATGCCACGAGGCAAACCTTCCACTCCAATGGACGCGTCGCAGCTGCAAATGGAACTGTACCTGAGACACAGGAATAAGGGGCGGAGAAAAAAAGTACAGCGTGCAACTTACGATTCCGTGTCTGAGTCGTCGGTGAGCAGACTGCTTGCGACGCTCTTTGCGAGGCCGAGCGAGTCGTCGCTCTGGTACGGGTGACCCATGCTCGGACGTCTAATTGTAGGAACGGGAGGGACCACCTCATTGGGGTCGAATTGCGAGACGTCGTCCTGGCTGAGGAAGCCTTTGCTCTTCTTGCGTCCCTTGAAGAGCTTCGACATGCGCCGCCGATGTGACGACGACACGTCGCTGCGGCCGTCGTCGGAGTTCTGGCGACTCTTGAGGCGGTCCATGACCCCGTCACTTGACTTGCGCAACAAGTCATCGTTGCCGTCACTGCTCGCAATTGAGACGGTGGATGAGTCCGGGCCCTTTGATTGTGCCCGTGGTGCCGCCAGCGTGTTGTCCCTGTCCTTGGAGCCGAACATGGAGCCTATGCTCCTCCGCCGCTCAGAGGCCATTGTGGAATATATAGGGTACGAGAGTGTGCAGAGCACTGAGAAGAGGTCGAGGGTCTCGCTATAGTCTCAGACACGCATATCGATGTTGCGACGCTTTGTGGTGCCGTGTTTGCTACGTAGGTTTGGGGGGGTCGATTACGTAGGGAGCATGTGTTCAGGGCTCGCGATGCGCTTGGAACTACCGCAGGGTCGCGGCTGCAATCGGATACATGACAAACGAGGGGTGACGGGGGACGGGGAGAAGCTTGCGAGTTATGGCAGAGGGGAGAGAACAAGCAAGTAGGCGCAGGCTGCAGAGATGAAACCAGGCGGGCGCGTTCCTCGTGTTCTGGTTCCAACGTCTCCAGCTGCGGGTCTTTAGCCTAGTGATCTACTCCGCAGTTACATGGGGGGGGTGGCCAGCCTTGCTATCCCTGTCAACGTGACCGAGACCCTTCACGCGCACCTGCTGCTGCCTCTGCACACACTCGTACAGAAACTCGTCGAACATGTTCAAACCTCACTGCTGCCACCACCATGGAGTCGGCACATCTTATCCAGGCTCATGATCACGCCCGCACTGCCGCGACCGCGACCAGCACCAACAGCGTCGCGACTGCGGGGCAGGAGCATGACCTTGCCGCGACCGCCTTCCACAATGCCCAACAAGATACCCATGATGCTGAGGTATGTAGCCTGGGATGCCTTATCCTGCCCGTCTAAGTAGTCCTAGGCCCGTCGCATCCTCAGTCTCCTCGAAGACCACCATCGCAAGCTCGCCGGCCTGATCAAAGAGGCGCCGCGCAAGGAGAAGAAGACAGCAGATGCCAGCAAACACCATTCCGAGTCCTCCACCCTCTCCCCGTTAGCGAATGCCTCGTCATCACGAGTATCCGCATCCAAAGCATCTTCTCCGACTCCTCCAACATCTCGCCGCAGACTCCCCCAGTCCTCGATAGCCACCAATCTCGCCGAAAAGCGCGGCATACCCAGCGCAAAGAGAGCCGCCAGTGGCGCCTCGCCCAACGTACCAGGCGCTGCAGCTGGTCGGAATGAGCAACCGTCTACGCCGGTACGGGATCTCTTGGCCCAACAGTCGCGCAAGACAGAAGTGAGCGCTGGCAGAGACGCGGCCAAGCAGCTGAAAGATGCCTCGCCACGCCCTGCATCACCGCCCGCCGAAGACAACTTCAGCCGCTTCTATTCGGCTTTTGGGGGCGTCATATCCGCAATCAGCGCCCCACTGGCTTTCACCTCCCTTCCACTCAACCCATCTGCACCAACGCCAGTGTCTGAGACGCCCAGGGAAGAGACGTCATCCAAGACCAGGTCACGACCACACTCTCCAGAAGCTTCCAGGACCGTCAAATCCTCAGTTCCCGACCTCGCTGCCCTGATAAGCAAGCCTGCACTGCGCGCTCTGCGAGAGGATGGCGCGCCTGGACCTAACGAAAGCTTCTACTTGGTGCCAACATCAAGTGGCGGGGTTACATACGCCAGTGTCCTTCGCGATCCGAATGCAACGAATGTGTCACCCAACACACAGCTTAACGCGATCGACGAGGGCTCCGGCTCGTTGCGAGGGAGTTCACATGAAGAATTTGTCGATGCGCGAGAGAACGTAGGCCCGCCGTCACCCACCAAAGCACGTCGTCCTCCTTCTCGCGGAAACCCAAGCACCGCCGTAACACCCCAACGCTCCATACCAGCCGGCAGAGGCTCAGGTCTCAAGACCATGGAAGAGCTGGCTCTAGAGAACGATACCCTCAAGACCGTCATCGACAAACAAGCCAAACGCATCCAGATGTGGGAACTAAACTCCCAGAACTCTTTTAACGCCCTCGCACAGTCGTTCCGTGCTCGAGGCCCCGGACGAGGCTCCAGCGACCCTAATGCACTCGCTCAAGCCCTCGCTGCTCAAGGCATCAACCACCTCCCAGCTCTTCCTTCCCCTCCTATACCAGGCCAGACACAACAACAACGACAACCTACTTCTCCCGGTCAAGCCCCAACTTCAGCTCCCGACGCTGACGCCGCAAAACGTATCGCAGATCTCGAAGCCATGCTTGCTTCTCAAAACGCCAAAGTCAACGACTTGATGAGCAACAATGAGAAGCTGGCCAAGCAAAATGAGAGGAACACACAGGTCTTGAGTCGATACAGAGAGCAGTGGGAGAAGCTCAAAGCTGGTGCGAGGAAGAAGGAACAGGAAAGACGAGAGAGAAAGGTCGGCGATGTTAGGGTTGGGGAGTCGACCAAAGACAGCGAGGTTGTTGAAGCGCAAGGGGAGGGTGAAGAAGAGCTGGACGAGGAACCTGGGTTTGGAAAGGCTTGAACGAGAGAGGGCGATATGGACATGATCAAGTACTGAGTAGAGATGGAAAGATACCCCATGTTATTAACCCAAACAAGGGTACAATATACATGCAACAATCCATTATTTCTTACGTCGCAACTGGAAGATACTCGGATTGGGATGAGCACAACTAAAGCATGTTTCAACACTGTTTGTATTACTACTGAAATGTCCAAAGCGCTGTCAAAGCTCGCCTTCCTAACCAAAAGTCACCTTTGACAATTTATCATCCGTGTCCCGTAACGCCGCCAAATCCATTCCGCTGATGTTCCCAATACACACAACCGAACCCAACCAATCTAAGCAGCAGAGGCAACGGGCTTCTGAGTAATGGGCTGGTAGGACGGCGCGACGGGTCCACCGACTGTGATCTCCTCATTGGCCATACCCGCTGCGTGACCCTCAAAGTCCGGTGCATCAGGGTGGCAGCCAACACGCTCCTTGCTCAGCAAGTCGACGAGGAGAGGGCTGGGCTTGTTGCTCTTCTCCGAGAAGCTGTTTTGGTGGCTCTTGTACTGCTGGACGTTCTCCATGTACTTATCGAAGAGGTATGCAGAGTCTAGAGGACCACCCTTAGCCTCGGGATGGAACTGGGCGCTGAAGATGGGACGGGAGTTGTGGATCAGACCCTCGTTGGACTGGTCGTTGAGGTTGGTGAAGTATTCCCTCCATTCGCTGGACAGGGTAGTGGGGTCAACCGCGTATCCGTGGTTCTGCGAGGTGATATGGCACTTGCCCGTGGTAAGGTCAAGAGCCGGGATGTTATGCGCACGGTTGCCGTACTTGAGCTTGATAGTCTTCGCACCAGCAGCAAGGGCGATGAGCTGATGACCCATGCAGATACCCATGACGGGAACCTGGGAAGTCTCGAACAGCTTGCGGAGGTTGTGGACGGTGGTCGTGCAATGAGTTGGATCACCGGGGCCGTTGGAGATGAACACACCGTCGAAGTGGTGGGCAACCTTGTGGATGGGGTAGTCGAAGGGGAAGCAGGTGACGCTGGCACCGCGAGAGACGAGACTGCGGAGAATGTTCTCCTTGACACCGCAGTCGATCAAAGCTACGTGCATATCGCCCAAAGAAGAGCTGACATGGAAGGGAGCCTTGGTGGATACACGGCGCACGAGGTTGATAGCCTCAGGGTCAATGTATGCCTCGTCCTCATCGGCATCGTACTCCTCACCAATTGAGATACGAGCAAGAGAGGAACCTTGCTCACGGAGGTATGTCACAACCTCACGGGTGTCAACGCCAGAGATGGCGGGAACTCCCTCACGAGCACACCATGCTGCGAGTGACTCGACAGCTGTCCAATGGCTGTGCTTCAAGGCATAGTCCTGAACGACGATGCCAGAAGCTTGAATGTGCGGGGATTCGAAGTATCGGAGCAAGCCATGCTCGTCACGGGCGTTGGAAGGAACACCGTAGTTGCCAATCAATGGTTGTGTGAAGACGAGGATTTGGCCACGGTAGGATGGGTCGGTCATAGATTCGGGGTAACCGACAAGTGAAGTGGTAAAGACGGCTTCTCCGGAGATGTTGGTCTTGGCTCCGAAAGACTTGCCTTCGAAGATGGGTCCATTCTAAACAGCTGTCAGTGACGCGCCAAGACGTGCAGGATGACTCTACGCACTTTGATTGTGAAAGTAGCAGGTTCATTGGAAACAGCCGTGGCCCTGCGCATGCTAGGAGTAGGAATGGCACGCTGAGTGTTTCCTTCAACAGTAGCAAGGGAGCGTGTCTGTACACGGTTCTTTGTCATTCGTCCCAGGAACCCTGCGGACCGCATGGTGGAAGGCTTGATCATTTGCGACAACATGATGAGCGGAGATGTGAGGTGATGTAGTGATTCGTTTGATAGCAGCTTGTTGGGTAGGCGTTCAGTTTACTGATGCCTTCCACAGGTGGTCTGCGGATAGAGTCAGTTGGACGCTCATGACGCGTCTGTCTGTGGGCGACAGCATACCTGAGATGTAATCCTGTAGCACTCAATTAGCCATGGTCAGAAAAGAAGAAAGGAATGAAAAATTCTAGAGGAGAATGCATCGATCGTCAAGCCACCAAGAGGCAGAAAGAGGCCGGCGGTGAATTGACGGTGTGCGATGCATGTCCAGATAAGGCTTCATCAAGCATCACAATCGTGACATACCTGGGAAGTAAAGAGTGTCGGGGCAGCACTCATAAGCGCGGTAGTAGAGCCAGTCGAGGTCAGGAGGGGTGCCTATCTGAGGCGAAGCTTGCTGATGCTAGTTTGAGAGTGTTGAGTTTGCGTGAGGTGAGGATACAAAGTAATCGGGGAGGGGCTTTTCTGCAGCACCGGATGACGCTAGGCGCAATGACACACACACGCGCCAATGATGGCCTTTACAATAAAATATCGGTCACGATAACGATTGGACTTGCAAAGTTTCTTCAGTTCTGACCCTTGTTTTATGACAAACGTCCGGGGAAGCTGGATGATAAGTGTGCGGCCCCGCTATCAGGTCCCTTTGGGCAATGCTGTATAGCATACCCTGCAGCTGCTTGACGCCTTCAGTTTTGCGTCATGACACTTGGAGACTGCGCGGCGCACGTAGCAAAAATGGTGTCCATCAGACTCCACGCCTTATCTATGTCGATCGCAAATTGGCCCTCTCCGAGGAGCTTTACCGGGTATCCGCACGCAAATGACGAGTGACAGTCACAATTTTTGTTTTCTCCCGACATCGGCATCATGACGATCCGAAGCTTCCTCTAATTAGCCGAACATGTCCCCGTACATCAACAGAATCGGCGCATAAGCATGCCCTATGAGCTTCGTCTCGGCACCCGTCCAGCAACCCTTATACTAGGCCACTAAACAGTGATCTTACCCGTCAATCTCACATCCCTGGAACTCGATCCCACGAAGATCTGATACTCTCCAGTAGCAACACTCCATTTCCTACTGCTCTCATCCCAAAAGCTCATATCTCGTCTCCTCAGCTTGAATGTAGCCGTCGCACTGGCACCGGCTTCAATCTTGAGTTTCGCGAAACCCCTCAATTGCTTCGGTGGTGAGTTGATCGATGAAGGGTAGCCTAGATACAGCTGTGGCACCTCCGCACCCGCAACACCACCGGAGTTGCTGATCTTGGCGGTAACGGTAGCTACGGTTTCGAAGAGATCAACAGGGCCTCCAGGACCCTTGGCACCGGTTGCAGGACCCGCAGAGGGTTTGCCGGAGACACTGAGGTCGGAGTAAGTAAAGTTAGTGTAGGAGAGACCGTAGCCGAATTCGAATCTGGGCTCGATCTTCTGCTGGTCGAAACGGCGGTAATCGATGAAGAGGTCCCAGTTCTTGTCGTCACCGCTGGCAATCGTGGTACCGTAGTCTGATTCCTTCTTTGCGATGGTGTAGGGTAACTTGCCGCTTGGTGAAGCTGCACCGTAGAGGATGTCGACAAGGCCATTTCCGGATTCTTGACCTGGGAGACCTGCCCAAACAACAGCAACTACATTCGGGTTCTCGATCCACTGCTCCATAATGACTGGACCGACGCTATGGACTACAACAATGGTCTTCTTGTTGACAGCAGCAACTGCCTTGACCAATTCGTTTCCGTTGTGCCATGGGTCCAGGTTCTTCCTGTCACCAGCATTGCCTTCGACGGTTATGTAACCTTCGCCAGCATCGCTGTTGATGCAGACCACCGCAATATCAGCGTTTTGTGCTGCGCTAGCACCTTGCTGCGCGTTGTCGTTGGGCGAAGAAGTGATGGAAGTTCCGTCCTTCTGGGCTTGTGTCTTGATAGCATCAAGAGGAGCAACAAGATAAGGAAACTCAACTGATCCGGAACCCCAACCCATGGCCAATGTTCCATCGTTACATCCGCGATCAACGCACGCATTGGCTCCTTTAGGCGCAACGATGCTGTCGCTTCCGATGACAGCGATGCTTTTAGGCTTCTTGAAGGGCAACGCGGCGTTTGTGTTCTTTAGCAAGACAATACCATCGCGAGCCGTAGCGCGGACGTTTGTCTTGTGGCTTCCGCCTACTTCATGTTTGCCAATCGTCCAGGAGCTAAATGAGGTGCTTGGATAGCCCTTGTCTTGACCAACGAGATACCAGGCGGCTAACACGCGCTTGACCATGTCATCAAGGCGAGATTGCTGCACTTGTTTGTTGTTTATGGCGGTCTGAAGTTGCGGGCCCCAAAAGATGTTGCCGTTGCTGAAGTCGGTGCCGGGCATGGTCATGTCCATGCCACCGTTCGCACTCCCAGTGGTAGTGTGTTGCGCTAAGTTGACGTCAGGTATTGTACCAGAAGTACAAGCAGACCAAATGCTTACCATTCCAATCGCTCATGATGTATCCACGATGACCGAGCTCGTCTTTAAGGAGCTTGTTCATCACACCGTCGCTTTCGCAAGCCCATGTTCCATTGATCTTGTTATAACTGCAGCAACTTAGTAAATCCCGAAGTCGTACACGTCTTCGCTTGATGATTTCTCACCTGCACATGAATGCTGCGACATTGCTGTGCACAGCATCCATGAAGGGCCACACGTAAAGTTCGCGAAGTACCCTATCCGGCACATCTGAGCTCATAGTCTCTCGGTTCAATTCCTGTTCATTTACAAGCCAATGCTTCGCCGTAGCTTGGACACCTGCCTCTTGCATACCCTCGATGGTTTCCGCCATCATGATGCCTTGGAGATAAGGATCTGAGCCAAATCCTTCCCAGTTTCGACCACCGTTTGCATGCTTGCCAAGAGGACCGGCGGAAGGCCCAAGCTGGACGTGAACACCTAGCTGCTTTGCTTCCGCACCCAGGAAGGCACCTCTTTCACGGATAAGGTCAATGTCCCAGGTGCTAGCGGCATGGATAGCCGCACTGAAGGCAGTTACACCTTGGACGTAGCGAACACCAAGGGGTCCATCTAGAGGCTGTTAGTAAGAAGTTCATCTTGATACAACCATGCGTTGGACAGCGTTTGGTGATTCTGTTCGGTGTGTCCCAGGCTTCAGGCTCCAGGCTCCAAGCATCGAAGTCGTTGATCACAACGTGCTCATCAAGGCCACAGCATGTCCTGATTGCGTCGGACAACATCCTCCACCTTTGGCGTTCGCGAAGCATGGTCGGCTCGGAAGTAATGAATCACAACTGCTCACCTTGCAGACAAAGTGACGGATATCCAATCGAGCCAGCCGCCTTGGTGTTGCCAACGCAAGGACCTTTCTGCCAGCCAACACCCGTGACGATTCCGATCTTCTCACTCTGCGATAGCTTGGCGAGCGCAGCTGTTGCTTTTGTGTAGGCATCGTCCCAGTTTCCAACTGCACGTTTTGAAACAGACTGATCAGATGGAATGACTGCATTGGTTAGCGAATATTTTGTTGTTGCGTGTGAGTTGGTTGCACCTGAAGCCTGCGACAACACGGCCGTAGCCAACAACGGGAAGAGACAAGATCGCATCGTCAAACACAAGACGCCTCAACTTCCAAGACTTGTACTGGGGAGCGAATGAAAGCCACCACCTGGGCATCTCTCCTATTAAGTACCAGCGGATTATCCATGCTGTGCAACGCACAAGCCCGAGGCAGTTGTTTTTATCAAGATTGACCCTTGGCAGAATCGGAGCATGCACCATGTTGAACCCATAACCCAAGAAAACCACAAGCCGTATGACGTGTGATGTAGAGTGGTGATCGCTGAATTTGATGAGGCGGTGGGAAGGGATATATGGAGGCGGGCCGTTAACCCAGGGTTAACAGCCGGTTACTAGGGCTCGCGGCGAATTAAACCTCGGGACGCTGCATCACGAGTGGAGTTGGAATGGACGTGGCCCGGAAATACAATTACTGAACTGCTAAATGTGCGCAATGAACGATGTGGAGAACATGCGGCTCAGTCGTGTGATGGTTATGAATTCGACTAGTGTGATCAGATGACGACCTTTGCTATTCGCTGACAGACCTTGGCTGCACGGGACGCTGCATTGCGCCCAGTATCTTAGCATATACTTACTTTGACAGGGTAAACATTTCCTGTTTGCAAACATTGTCGCTTGTGACGGCCGTCTACGTAACCGTCCTCCTAAAAGATATTTGCGCATCGTTTTACGGACTTCCCGACCCCCTCCTGCAACCTCTGCCGATATGATGTATGGTCCACCTCTCTTGTTAGAGGAACGCTACTCCCATGCATGTCTCGGACACTATCCTGACCACACTGATGGCATTATGTCAAGACTTTCATCTGCTGTAGCACCTGCTTATCGTCACGAGACACTGCATTTCACACCAAGTCAATGTCTGGACGAGGCTGAAATGGGCTACTGCATAATGTGGAATGTTCAACAGACCCAAGGAACATCAATATTAGTCGGCGTATTCGCAGTCATCGTCTAACTGTAAGCAGTGCGCACACGATGGCCTCATTTCTGTGCACTGCCGTCTCCTTTGCTTGCAGTTGAGACACCCATTCTTCGAGCGTTTCTTGCTGATTATCACTTCGTATTGACACGTCCATAGACCCCTTCGGCACTGGTTGCATGAGGGTTTGGATTCGTTACATTTGATCTTCTTCTCGCGACAGCGGATGCAGGCTTTACCACGGATATGTGTCGGCAGTGGAGGTTCTTCGAAGACAGGCGCTTTTTTCCTCGATCCGGTGGGTGAAGCCGGTAACCTAGCCTTAGTCTTCTTGGTAGATGTTTTTCGCGATGTTGTGGAAGAGGCCACAGCACTACCTTTCTTGCTCTTCCTCTTTGCAGATGGATTTGGACCTTCTGGAGATGTTGACATGTCAAGGTCCGGGCCTCTGAATTCGCTCTGTGCCTCGGTCTCATCCTTTTTACTACGTTTCCTTTTGCGTGGTTGCTTTTCTTACGTAGCGTCGGCTGTGGCGGCGACGCCGTTATCAGTGACCATCAGAGCAGGTAGACTATCGGAAAAATCAGTTATAACTTTTGGACGAAGTGCTATGGCACATAGCCATTTTCAGTTGTGGCGAATGGCAAAACGTACCCGTTGTCAGCCTCGCGCGTAGTGTGTATAGGATTATGCTTGTACACCACATTGACAGCGTTTCTTTTGAGGGAAAACTTGATGTGTATTGCGCCTCCACAGTCGTAGGTCGGCAACGCAACAGGTCCCTGCTTCTTAACCTCAGGCTTCCCATCGTCGCTATCAGGGGACTTCCCTTTCCTCGTGTTGCTTTTACGGTCCCTATTCTGGAAGCTGTCTTGGCAAACATATTTGAACCTGGCACCGTCACCGCCTTCTTTGTTCTGCGCAGAGCGCTCGGAGTACTTGAAGCCATCAGTGTCCTGAATAGCTTTGATAATAGATCTAGGTTGCATAAGTAGTAGTTGTGCAGACAGGGTAGGTTCAGGTACCTTGCAATTGCTCGTTGTACCTTGAGCCTGTCTTTGCCGTCAATATCTCGACATAGCGCATATTCAGCGGCGATGCTTTGAGGGTGATCGGCTGGTTGTATAAGCGCATAAAGATTGAGTTGCTGCGTCACGGGGATGGTGATGGTAGAGGCTGTTGCAAAGATGAACTCTGTGACAACGTCTGTGGGGATGAAGCTGGCTGCATTCTTATCCAGTTCATTGCGCAGAGCTCCCTCAAGTGACTATTACATAACGACTTAGCTACGCTTATACGGGTTGTGAAGATCATATTACTTCAGATGTAGGACAGCGATAGTAGACATCGGGATTTAGGCCCTTGTGAAATCGAAGATCCAATTCATCTTCGAGGTCATCCATGGCAACTCTGTCATAGATTGGGGCACGACTGTTGAGTGATGCGTGGTGCCGCTCTCGTGCGTGATCCAGTCGTGAGACGAGACGGATGGAGCCAGATGGAGAGGACGCGTCCAAGCTTCCGGGATGGGAGTTGTTCCGCGCCGGGACTAGGCTGTGATTGGGCACATGTATTCTGCTAACAGTGCTAAGGCTGCCCTGCAGCATTCTAAAATTCGATTCAATCGGCAATGGGTCAAGCTGCACATGCCTCGCATATCCAGTAAATGAGCTCTCTCCTGGGCGAGTACATATGGCTCTGCGCGCTTATGGCTCAATGTACAAGCTTTGGCTGAAGACAGCTGAGGGAGCGGTGCAGATCATGCTAAATAGCAGCACTGTCTCCTCCTGTGAATGACGGAAGCCGGCTTCTTGCGCAAACACTAGCCGGTGATACTGTTAGAGGACGATCAGCCACGTTGTTCATGTGCACGTTCCTCCCTGAATCTGGGGCTCACTGAGCTTGTCAGGGATTGTTCGGGGCCATGTACGAAGCGTTTGAACCCAGAGAAGGTGTATCTTCAGCGTCGTGCCTTGGCTGTTGCGTCTATCAAGCCAATGTCAGCGTGCAGGTGGTGGGGTGTCGGCGGCACTGCAGCAATGGGTCTGCCACGCGTTGGATTAATATGCGGCCCCCATCGCGGTCTGGCCAGCGACCGCGCAGTAAAATAAGGCTTCAAATTGTGCAGACCCTACATAATGAGCCGTTTCCGAGCTACGGGCGGGAGCCGATGCAGCTGGGCAAGGTTGTGATAACAGCCCTAGGCCGCTTTGATTGATTGGCGTCCTCGCAGCTCAAGGGCCTCCGCTACCGTAGCTAGATCGCAACCTCACTCAGGCCCTCTCAAACCTCTCCACGCCCTCCCGTGATACTCGCATCTTCGCTGGCCGCTGCTGCGCCTGTGCTGTCTTTGTCCAGTCGCGTGCCTCGTCGCTAGCACTGCCTCAATCGCTCGCGCATTGTTCGCCCACCGGCCGCTTAGAACCTGGACTCAAGTCTAACGGGTGGTGTTTCACGCTCCAAACCACGTAGCACACGCCGCCGCCTTCTGCACGAGGACTCATAGGTATGCCTGCCCGAGTCTATCAATTTTGCCAGAGCCAAAAATCCCGAGACTGATCCGTCTGCCAGACTGTCCCCGCTCATTGGAACCCCTCGTTTGAGCCCATAGCTCCCATCTCCGCACTACCAACGACCCTGGGTCTGCGTAACTCCATCTCCGCCTCATCTTCGCTCCATCTACTTGAATTCTGGCCTCGGATCTGTCTCTCCAAACAAACATCCATATCTGCGAAACAAGTCCCAGTCTACCTTCACCATGGTCGTTGCGACAATCAAGTATGCGATACGCCTGTTGCGACCGCAATTCTCTGTACACTAATACTTACTGCCCTACAGGTGCGTCGTCGTCGGCGACGGTGCGGTCGGAAAGACATGTCTTCTTATCAGTTATACCACCAACAAGTTTCCCTCGGAATACGTTCCTACTGTCTTCGACAACTACGCCGTGACCGTCATGTGAGCTTCCCTTTGCTCTCCCTAGATTTGGAGTAGTGGCGTATCCTCGGTGGATACAAGGTCGGAATAGTGATTGGTGGAGCAGCTGCTGACTGCTTCCAAGGATCGGTGATGAGCCATACACCCTCGGTCTTTTCGATACTGCCGGACAGGAAGATTACGACCGCCTGCGACCTCTGTCATACCCCCAAACCGACGTCTTTCTCGTCTGCTTCTCCGTAACTTCGCCCGCTTCCTTTGAGAACGTCCGCGAGAAATGGTTTCCCGAAGTACATCACCACTGCCCGGGCGTGCCCTGCCTTATTGTCGGCACACAAGTAGATCTTAGGGAGGACGCTGCAGTAAAAGACAAGCTCTCAAAACAGAGGATGGCACCCGTGAAGAAGGAGGATGGTGAAAAGATGGCGCGAGAGCTGGGCGCGGTCAAGTACGTCGAGTGTTCGGCGTTGACTCAATATAAGCTCAAGGATGTATTTGATGAGGTACGCAGATTTGTTCGACATGGACTCACGTAGATGCTAACATCTTCACAGGCTATCGTGGCAGCACTTGAACCACCAGCAGCGAAGAAAGAGGGCGGCGAGAGGAAGAAGGGCAAAAAATGTATTGTCCTCTGAGATGCTTGACCAGCTGTTGCGTTCGTACGATCGCATGCTGGGAGCATTGGTTTGCAGATATTCTTTGATTAGGCGTGAATCTTTTGGATACCTCTCGAACTCCGGCGCCATTGTGGGTAGCGTTCTCTTTCATCAACTATCAACTTGTTCATTTCTACTATACGTCTTTTCTCTCGGCCTCGGCCAATTGCAACATAACGTTCAGCACACAGCAGGCAGACACGTCGTGGTTGTTGACGAGAGATAGCGAACGGTGCGGAAGCTAGAACGGGGCATTGTGCGTTCGGTATCGACACTAACTACAGCGGATACTGTGTCTTGCTCTATTTTCTGTACGCTGCTTGCAAATCTGCTTCCCCACATGGATTACCCCTCTTCCAAGATGTGGTGAACAAGAAGCGCGTTTGTTGTCATTACTGTTGTCGTTGCCTATGGCTATCACGACCGTCCCTTGCTGCACAATGAGATTTATGGACGTAGACGACTCTCTTCCCCAACAGCTTCCCAACGCCGAGACCTCCTCTGTTTTCTGGATCTGAGGCTCACTTTGCGTGACTCTTGCAAGTTGCAGTTTTCGAATGCTAACACTCCTGTGTCGAGATAGGCGATTCGAGCATTTCACACTGTTGAGCTACTACCAACCCGGTTGGTCACCTCTAAGCCCTTTCACCCGCTCAACTTCTGACGATTTGGAGCACATCACACACTTGGACGACGTATCGAAAGTATGTCACACCGAAACGTCGACGATAGGAAGCGCCCGCCGCCAATTGCCATCCCAAGCTCGTTGCCGCCTCCTCGGCCTCCTCCAGACGCCGCGCCTAGCAACCAGCAGAGGCAGCAACATACCAGGAACGCGTCCAATTCAACCAAAAGCCAGCGCTCGACCGGTACCACCCCACTACTTTCGCCTGTAGAGTCGCATCATCCAGCTTCGGGTTCAAGCCGGAGCCGCAACGCCATGGCCACGTTCACCAACTTGATTGATCAGGCACGTGTCTCGTCTCCCCGCAAGTCGGAACATGGATCCTGGGCAGGTAGCAATGTTGGTTCTGCGGCACGCTCGAGGCAGTCCGGGCGCAGCCAGTACGACGCTGCGGCTGCGCAGGCCCGGCTTGAAGCTCTCGACGAAGAAACAGCTAGGGGAAAGATGGAATCTCGCGCTGAGAAGAGTTTGTTCAAGTTGACAGGCCAAATTCCGCCTACACCGACAGCTGGTAAGTACACATCATCATGTTCATTTTCTGGTACTGAATATTGCAGATTCTGTAGACGAGGATGACGTCTATATCAGGACGCAAGACCTGCGACAACAGTGCCGAATTGCAAATGGGGAGCAGCAGCCAGACCGTGACGAGCCACCCAAGAGTCCCAAGAAAAAGCTATTCCAGAACCTCCGCAACACTTTCTCCAAATCTTCCAGTGCTGCACCGCCACCAGCGATGCCAAATAAAGCTGCGCAGATTCTTGGAACAGCAGCACGACAGGCTCGCGTCATCCCAGTTCGGCCCATCAAGCCAGCGCGCCTCAAAGAGACAACGCCAACGAGGGCTTCGCGCTCAGACACGGCAAATTCGCTGCCCCCAAAGATAGCTGATCCGGATAGCTATGCCCATCGCCATCACAATGGATCATCGCGCCGTAATCGCTCGAGTGGTCGTGGCTCGTCTGGCAAGGGTGGTCCGAAGAAGCAGTCCTCTGACATAGAAAATGCTCCTCGAGCACCTGAAGTCAATGACTCACTTGAATCACTCAATCCACCTCCTCCACCCGCAAAGGACACTCCTCCAGCAGGTCAGAGGCCCGCCAGCCCACTTCGCAGGGCTGTGCCATTGCGCGATCTTCGTGAGAGCTACTCTACCTTCACCGATGGAATTGGAGTTGTGCAATTTCCAGATTTTGACCTGTCACCGTCTCCTACAACTGGTATTCTGCCGGAAGATGGTGGCACGAGCCCTACAAAGTTCCTACCGTATACCGCAGAGGAGTACTCTAAGCTTATAGGAGGTGAAGCCATGCAATGGCCCTACCCTGACTGTAATGGTTCGCCTAGTAAGATAGGTGTTAAGTACCTAACTCCGTTGACAAGCGCGAATCTTGTGTTGCAGCTTCCTCATCCGGACCGCAGGAGTGAAGAGCGTACGACTGCAACGCAAGACGACGACAACAATAACAACATAGATGCATACAGCCCTCTACATCCGCGCTTTTACTCTCCAACTCACATCTCTGCTCGTGGCTTCGCTGAAGGTGAAACTCCTTCAAAGAATGTATGTCGCATCCCGCTCTTTCCCTCTCACTTTTGACAACAGAGTGGCGCTCACCTAGCTCTTTGTTATGTTCCACTCACGCGTTTGCTCGCATTCACCTCCATCACTCTGCTTTTACCGATATTGTACTAGTAACACTTGCTAACAACTTTGTCAGTCCGATACCACCCGTCTTCTCTACTCACTTCCCGGAAGGTCGCTATCAGTCCTCCATCTTCGCGAAGAATCAAACGACGGCTCAATCAAGATGATTTTTCAAGGAGATCGCCAGGATATTGATCCGCACTCCCCAACTGCGCACGAGATAGACGAGAACGAGCAGCACGGCCAGACGGGTGATAGGCGGTCTGACGTTAGCATTACCACTCGCGTCATGCAAGAGCTGCGCATTGGAGAGAAGAACGGGAACTTAGCTCAGAAGAATGGCGACTCTAGCCAGATTCAGCCTGATCAGTCTTCCTCGAGGCTTACCGATATGCTCAATACTGTCAGTCCAGGTCGGAGCGAGTCCCACGGCGAGTTCCAGCCTTACTGCCCCAGCGCCGTTCCCAGTCCGCTCCACAAGGTTCCTGGTCCCCAAATCTCAGCGCAGTTGATGATACCTTCTGGCGGATCATGCAATGCTTTCCCTCCGCTGTTTCCGCCCAAGACCATCGATGACCACTTCTTCATGACTAATGAGCACCTCGACGTGGTGGGCAAGACCACTTGGGATCTTCTCGAGACATTCAACGAGAAGCAGAAGAGCACGTCGAATGCAAGACAGGAGGAGATGTTGGCGCTGGTCAGTACGCGCTTTGAGCAGATATCATCCCAACTGGTAGCCGTCAAGGACAGTGCCAAACGCATCGACGATTGTATAGTAGACAACCAGCAGAACATCCATGCTAGTATTAACAGCATATCCGACTGTGTCAAGGAGACCATACCGAAGGCCTTTGCAGAACAAGACAAAAAGATGACAAGCATGGAGGCGGACATGAGGGAGATGAAGCAGATCATTCAGGCTTTGCAGAAGTCGGTAGAGCAAAAGGCGACAGAGGCCAAGGCTCTTCAACAGTACACTCCCACTGGTCAGGGCAACGCTGCGAGCATCTCTCAGGCCCCATTCCCTTCACATAATCCACGCTCTCAGCATTCCGTCCAGAGCTACTATGGTGGCAATTCTGAAGTTATCCGCGATGGACATTCGGTGTTGCCGCATAACATGGTATCTCCTCAAGACAATCACAACGACCCTCGTTTTGGTTATCAGGCCAATAACCAGTGGACTACGCGTCCTGCCTATTCTAACCGCAACACCAAGGAAGATCGTACATCTTACCCTACAAACCCCTACCACAACATGGGAGGTCAATACAACAACGGCTACGATGGCAGCTACTCTTCTTACGCCTATTCCCCTCATTCTCTCACCCCTCCCGACCAGCACTTCACTTTCAACAACCAGGGTAATCAGGGACAGGCCAAGTGAAGTCAGCCAATAGATGAAAATGCATTCCAGACTCACCTTGGAAGGGAAATGATTACGAGGAACTCGAATGGCCTGCTGTGCTTGCAGGGAGACAGCATTACGAACACACGACATTCTGCTTGAGCAGTTTCACATGGAAGCATCTTGTATGATAATCACCCGGAGGGTATCTAGTTGGGGCGGATTGGAAGTTTTGTACGATATCACGAGATGCCTTCATTTGACGTTTGCTTTACAATACTCTGTCTAGTGCCAGGCACCAGCTCTCGTAGCTCTGCCGACATCCGCGGATGGGGCGAAGAAACACGTCACAAATGACATCTACACACAGGCTCGGCTGTATGTTGCTGGATGATGTTTCACAGAGACTTTTGCGTATGTTGATTCAGCCGTATAGTCGCACGTGCCCCAAGGACCCCAGAGCCGTATCCGGTGTTGATGGATGCAGTACCTAGACTGTCGGTTCTTGTTTTACGGTACCGGAGGTAGGGAAAGCAAGCGCATGCGTCTAGACCTAGCGATAGCGTGTGCTTCCACGGGCCATGCTCATAGGCCAAACGTCGATACTGCCTTCCCATGACTGGTCGTGGTTGCGGATGACAGTCGAAAGAGGATGGGCCTTCTCAACAAGGACACGGCGGTGATGCTCAGCTAGCCATGACGGCGAACTATTGCTTGTAAACGTTATCAGGTCGGGCGACGGGTCACATCCTAATTGCACGCTTGCTTGTTTTAGTCGCAAGGCTGGTTGTGGCTTGTGTCCAGGCATGCGCTAATGATACCGGAAAGGCGCACGTCCATGTTTAGCATCACCCGCAGACAGCAGACCGACGACTACTGGATAGCCACACGATCGTGTCCCGCCCAAGCAGTGATACAACACCATGGAGGACCCAGAGTCATCCTCTACGGGTCTTGCGTCCTCCAACCCTCGAGCCGAAAGGGCGGCCGCGTACAACGACGCGCCGGAAAAGACGCATGCCACGCTAAACACTACTGCCCTCCAGCCCCCCGCGAACCTAAATGCGACGTCGACCCTGACCAACTCGGACCTGTCGATTGGAAGGGGATTCACGGATCCCTCGCTGCCGCTGCCCAGATACCACGTCCGCGCCCCGTCCACCGCGTTGAAGCTTGACACGGACCTCGCCATCGCCTCGTCCAACCCAAACTCTGCACGCTCTCTCCACCCCGCCAATCTGGAGGCCAACGGGAGCGACGCGCTGCGGCAGTCGGCCACTGCGCCGATTGCGATACAAGACAGTGGCTATCTGAGGACTGCCTGGTCTACTGCTAGTCTCGGTTCGCTGTCGCCCTCGTCTGCCATCTCGTCGCCAGCACTGGCCGCCCTGGGAGACATAACCCCACTTCCATCACCACTGGTGATGGGCGACTCACCGGGGCCATGGCAGCGAGCCGACCATCGCCCGCGCTCACGAGGCATATCAGGCGCTTCTCGCGACGACTCCTTCGCCATGTTCACCAAGGGCACCCTCTCTCCTTCGCCCTCGCTCAAGAAGAAAGGATACTCGGGACTGAAAGCGGCCGCCATCGAAGCGGCCGCTGCAAACTCTCAGCAGAGGAACGAGGCAGCCCGCGAGCGCAACAGAAGCATCAGCGAGTACACTCCAGATGCAATGCGTAACGCTCGTCCCCGACAAGTCTCGGTGGTAGAAACGGACCCCAACATGCAGCAACGCATGAACCGCGAGACATATCTTGCCATGCAGAGGGGCCTTGTCCCCGCTAAGGTGCCAGCCGGGCTTCCCACTCCACCCGCTAGCAACGCAAGCAACCGCAGTGTTACCGACACCGAGGAAGAGGACGTGACAGATGATGACAAGACTCAATACATAGTGGTGCGCTGTGGACCCCAGAAGACGAAGAAGCTCTGGCGCCCTGTCCGGCAGCTTGGCCAGGGCACCTTCAGCAAAGTCTACCTGGCAACCTGCGAGAAGACCAAGGCCAAGGACCCTCTCGATGAGAACGTTTTGGATCCGCGGAAATTGGTCGCCATCAAAGTCGTCGAGCATGGCCCGGCCGGGGGTGCCGATGAAGAACGCGTAGAATTAAGCCTCAAGCGAGAGGTTGAGATGCTCCGATCAGTATCACATCCGTCTCTCGTACATCTCCAAGCCTTCGATCACGATGACGCCCAAGCTCTTATTGTCCTTACGTACTGTCCCGGTGGTGATCTGTTTGATGTAGCCAGTGACCATCGCGACAAGCTGACTGTCGATATCGTCCATCGTATCTTCGCCGAAATGGTCAGCGCCGTGCGTTATTTGCATACCCAACTTATCGTGCACCGCGACATCAAGCTAGAAAGTACTGCTTCCATTCTCTTTATCTTGCTGCGCCTCAAGTGGTACGTTTCTTCGATTCTACTCTGTACTAATGATATCCAGACGTTCTTCTCAACATCCCTGTGTCTACTGTGCCTCTACTCAAGAATCCACAGAGCCATCCGCATGCCATAGCGACACTTACGGATCTTGGTCTTTCTCGACGTATTCCAGCTCCACCCGAATCGCCCCTTTTGACAACACGATGCGGTAGTGAAGATTATGCAGCCCCGGAGATTCTACTAGGTCAGCCATATGACGGTCGTTCAACGGATGCCTGGGCGCTTGGTGTCCTTCTCTATGCTCTCATGGAGGGACGACTACCCTTTGATCCCCTACCGGGCAAGGCTGCGTCTCGTAGCAGAGCTGCTCACCGTATCGCCAGATGCGACTGGTCTTGGGTCAAGTTTGGTGACGAAGACGGTGAGTGGGATGCTGAGAAGGGCAAGGAGTGGGGAGGAGCTCGCGAGTGTGTCGAAGGGCTGCTGAAGAAGGTCTCACGCGGTCGGAAGAGCTTGGAAGATATTGAGAAACTGGAGTGGGTCCAGCAAGGCATTCAGGTCGAGGGTGGCCTAAGAATGAGGCCAGAAGACGAGGTCGCGGAGGTAGCTGCGGCCCAGACCCCGCTGAGGTGATCGTTAATGAGGAGCTGAGATGCGCGGTTTGCTGAACTCGAATGATAGGTCGTCTCCGCTTCGAGACGCTACCAAACGACTTTCTCGTGTGTCGTTCAGTCCGCCCAAGCTTCCCGTACTCCATGAGCGCGAAAGCTCTAAATGAGGGGGACAGACTATCAAATCACACTCTTCGTGGTAAACCTGCACACGCAGCTCTTTCCGGAACTACCCAGGTTTCCTACTTTTCCTTTCTACTCACGACTATTTACTCTCACGTTCGTTGTTCTATTGATATCCCTCCCATATCCCATACCTGTTCGCTTCTATTGTCTGGTTATACTTGCTTTCAATGTCGTTCAATCGGCTATCCTTTCCGTTGTGGCGCCTGCGCCTACGCGTTTGCTTCAGCGGGTTCATGCTTTCCTTTTCCTTCTTTCAATCATGTGGCATTAGAAAAAACAGGGTCAATAGTTGACTCTTGATAGCTTTGGCACTTCAGCAGGCATGCTTTCTTCTCTTTGTTTTTGGACAACACTGAATCGAGCTGGCTTGGATAGAAAATCAATAAAGCGATACTTTCGCCATCATTTGTGCTTGTGTCATTTACATTCATGCTGTGCCTTGATACTTGTAACGGTGCCGTCATCGGTTCTATAGAAAGTCTCATCTAGCTAGTCTACAAGTACTGAAATGCCAAGGCCAAAAAAAACACCCCTCTTTTGACAATCTCTAGTAGGAAGCCTTTCCTTCGACATGGATATTCTAGGGATCAAAAAAAAAGACCTTAGCTTAAACAGTACCTTATCTTGTAGTAGCCTATCTTCCAGGTGGTGGTGGGCAAGACGAGCCATCCGAGATATCGACTAAGCGTTCACCACCGCAGTTCTGAATGCTGACAACGCGGTATTGGGCGCAGTTGGGGTAGTTAACCTCAACCCCAATCTCGCAGTTGGGAAACTCCGCAGTCCGAACAAAAAAACCGGTGATAAGGCCAGGGCGGACTCCAATACATCCACGGAACGAAGGCTGAGACGGAGGACCGAGTCCACTACGCTTCTGTCAGCCTTGCACATTGAACAATAAGGGGTTACTTACACCGTGGCGATGCAGGCAATAGGACCGCCCTGGCGTGCCTCTAGCCCGGCCGGTTCAGCATTTCGTGCTTCAAGCGAGGTTGAGTACGACTCCCATTCGGGCAGATCGTGGAGGATAGCGAGTGCTGCTGCTTCAGCATTAGCGATCGGATTAGCCATAGAGACCGCACCGAAGGCAGTGGTGAAGAAAATGATTGGGTGAGATAGAAGCATTTTGAGGATAAGAGGTATCTGCGACAGACTTGAGTGTGAAAAGATGGCTGGCGTTTAGCCTTTGATCTTTTGATGGTTGACGGCGGATGAAGAGGAATGAATGGCCATTTCCTCAGCTTATATACTTCTCTGTGTTGACTGCATCTCTCTCGACCAAGTCGGCTCCGCAATCTCTCTTGTCCGCCTAGCATAAGCACCAAGGTTTCCATATTGTGATGACACGTCTGTGGTTCGTAGCCCTCACACCCTCGACCTTGGAGGTTTGGCATACCTGCACTCCGACTCCGACAGACCGGCGGAAGAGGAGCATATTGCAGGTAGAAAACCCACTAGTATCATAATCGTCATCATGCTACGTCTATAGACCGACCAAGTGTAGTCGAACCATTTTTCAAAGCAGTGAACAAGACCGTAACCACGCCAAGAACCGAGGGGATTTGAGATAATCGGTTCTGTCTTGTGTGAGACCAGACCATAATGTGCTGCTTTAGAATGTACTTACTTGACCAGGTGTATTTTTTGAAACTGTGCGGCACTGAGATGTATCGCTTTTGGAACGACACCTCCATTCTGGATATGCGCTTTTGGAAATACACACACAGCAAGAAAGAGTTCTGTCTTAGTAATTCGGTGAGAACAAACTGCCCATCCAAGCCGATTAGGTCAGTCAAGTCTTATTCCATCGCATCCAGCCCAAGCCGATCATATTAATGACGACGATTTCACCTCATCAAAGGCAGGGAAGTCCCGGATCATTGTGTAGTGAATACCTAGGTACCTAGAGGCTAGTTACTGCTTACCGGCTCCTCAAACCCGTATCATATCTGGTATAGGTGGTACGTATTGATCTGTAAGCTTGTTCATGGGTCGTACGATTTCCTGCTCTTGCCTCAAGCCAAGCTTTTGTTGATTCATTACCTTAGTTATCGGCGCTTCTGTAGTGGCGCACGGTGTCTCTGCATCACCAGAGTAGCGTGGGGCGTGAAACACTGTACTTGTTGACTGCTTCAGCCCAAGCATCTCGTTCAACACTCACGAACATGACTTTCTGCAAGACGATGCTTCGATATTGCGTTGCTGTGGAGCTGTAGTGATAGGAATGATCGCCATGTTACCAGGTACGCGTGTCGGCACGTCTGCCGATGGTCTGCACTGACCATCAGAACAAGGTACCTACCTAGGTACAGTAGCGGGCTCACGTAATTCCAAGATCCCAGCTCTCTTTCCAGACTTCCGGTACATTCGGTTGAGCGACTTAGTGTAGTAGCCGAACAGTGTCTACCTAACAAGCAGTCTTAAGAGGGAAATGACTACCTACTTAGGTTAGGTAGTCTCGTCCGAGACACTACATTCGCCAAGACGTTTTTTGGACTGGAATAAGTGCAGTAGTGATAGCCAAGGCTTATTAGAAATGACGCATTATGCTAGTGGTAGCATTAAGGTGCGCAGAGAATGTTCGCTGTGAACAAGCACGGACACATTTACAAGAGGTTGATGGTACCTAGGTACTACCTGGGTAATGATAGGCCAATTTACTGAATGTTCAATATTACACTCTTCTTCGTCAGAGACTAGCACACCTCTACTTCGGTAGCTATAGAACTGATGCGAGTCGAGCTTGACTTCTCGCACTCATGCCAGTCTGATGCCAAGGATCTGGGCAAAAAGTTGTCCTATGGGACGTCTCCATACACAGGAACAATTCGCAAGATCCATAATCGCGAATCTCGTGGTCTTCTATCTTGCAGATCAGACGCCCCACAAAACCCTTGGTTATACGCTATATAACGATCATATCCAGCGCAGCCATCCCTTGACCCCACATAGCTTCGCGGGTCTAGAAGTTTGGACTCAGATCGAAGCTAGAAGTGAGCTAGACCGCTGGGTCCAGGCAGTCAATAGAGGCACATGCTAGCTCTTGAGATTCTCTCCATATTATATAAGCACGTCATCCTTGCTCACCCTTCTCTCTCCATATCACCTGTCAAGTAAAGAACGCGACGACAAGCACTAGCGGACCTTCAATCGACAAACACTCCTCGCTTAAAGGATTGGACGGGCCAGAGTTCAAGTATGCACAACTACAGGGGCCAATACGACTTGGGGACAAAGAGCTACCTAGGTAAACGTTCGCTTTCTCCGTGGCTTTGGATGAGCGATCGGAACAGTTCCCTCTTTATATTAACATCTTTCGCTTTACGAAGTATGTTGAAGAAGAAGATCCTATACTCTTTCTTTGTCGAATAGAGGACATGGTGCGCGTGCGCCCGCTCTACAGTAGTGGTCTAGTCACTGACGCGGGACGCTACGGTGATAAGCTGTAGCAAGGCGAGACTCCTGCTCATCACATCGCTCGCAAAGGCGAGATAGCGTCGAATTGATTATGAGATTTCTGACTATAGTTTAGTGATGAGCATAGGGACGCGAAAATGTCACGTCATTGAAGTGCATTGACGCGTTCGGCCGTTTGCTTACCTAACTTCGACAGTCACCACCTCCTCAGCTAGATTGTGAACGTAACCAGCACAGGTATCCTTGGCTCTACCCACCCTCGCACGTCTACATGATTCTTTGTTAGATGTTCATTGAAGTCACACTGCAACAGCTCCTCGACTACGCCTCTACGGCTTTCCTAGCGTTATCGACGCGGTTGTGACGCTGAAGTCTCTAGTAACATCAAATAGCGCGTCGGATGCCATACCATCCGCGAAAACTGGGTGGAATCGAAACAGTTCAAGGAGAATATGACGGTATGGCGTCCGTTATCCACTAGCGACATCGTCAGCCTCGTTCAGGTGGCCGACAGAGTCCACCCCGGTCTTCCAGAAAGCAACGAAGTCTTCGCAGAGCGCGCCAGACTGTTCTCGCAAGGCTGTCAGGGCCTCTTCGATGAGACAGGTGAGCTTCGCGGATATATCATCTCGCATCCTATCTTGTTTCGCGAACCACCAGCTCTAGACAGGCTTCTTGGACAAATCGCTCTAGACGCAAACCAATATTACATTCATGATTTGGCGATTCTTCCTGAATTCCGTGGGTCTGGTTCAGCGCACGAATGCCTTATAAACATTCTGGAGACTGTCGCAGAGCAATACCCGACTACTAGTCTTGTTTCTGTCTATGGAACAGCGGAATTCTGGGGGCGGTATGGGTTCAAGGCTCCAGAAACAATCGATGACGAACTAAAGAAGAAGATTTTGGGCTACGGTGATGACGCCTTGTATCTCGAACGCAAGAACGAGGCACATCCATCTGATTCAAGGGTGTAAAGGATGTGTTCTCTAAGTCGGGGAGACTTTTGTTATTCATCAAAGTTGATTGAACAAATGTATAATACATTCCAAGAAAGAACACATCCTTAATTCCTTGGTTCCACCACGATATGCATATGCGCATTTTCGGAGCTGGAATTAGCGAGCACATTTACTGAAAGACTAGACCGCGTTCCTAGCCCTTTTCTCAGATCATGCAGTAACCTATCAACTTCTTTTGTCTTCTCAATAGATCTTACTCATGATCTAACACGTTGATATCTTTCTGCATCCTTGACTGGTACCAAGATTAGGCCTTCCAAGTATCATTAAGTAATTTTAGACCGTGATTCGATTGCGGAGATAGGAAAGAGCGGTCCCTATTCAAGAGTGTCGTCTTCGGCATCGAACGACACATGAGAATTCGAGCCCAGAGCAAGGTCCGGGATGTAGAGGCTGAACACCGCTGATATCGTTCTGGAATTTAAGGTCGGAAAACCCATTGAAGCCTTCTTTTTAGGACCACGAAGTTATACGGACATCAGCTGTCCAAGTGATGTATGAGTTGCGATACACGTCCTGCATAGTACCAGCTTCTACCTTCCACCCTTGGTCGGAGCCTTGAAATACCTGGGTACGTGAAAGCTGTCTGAGACATGAAATCAGCGCTTGTCATCTTTACCTGTCCAAACATGCTCTATGTCCAACTTCAGCGTCACCTGTATGGCATCACGAAACGTCTTCGCAAGAGTATTGACCAATTTTTCCTAGCATAGTTCTTCATGTGTGGACCGTAGAAGCCGTAGCTAGGTTTGGAGAGGATCAATGATCCACATATAGGATAGTGCGACATTAAAAGATGCAGTCCAGCAGACGAAAGATGGACGAAAGATAGAGGAAATTTATGGCAAGTAAGGTCATGCGAGCTTAAGGCAATGTCTACTAGTCACTGTATGATTGTACGCCTGACCCGTACCACATAATGTAACGACAGCTTCCGGTTGTCTCGAAAACAATGCAAACGATGCAGGATAAGCAAGATGAACTGCGTGTTAAATAGTTAAGCAAACGAGATTGATCTTGTAAAGCCCATCGATGATAATTCAACAAAGGTGTATCTCACTTATAACAGTCGCATCAATACAAGCCTCAACTTCCAGACATCTCATCCATCCTACAACTAACAACTAGCACGGCCATGATCAGGATGACTAGCATAGTCTTGTGCCTTTCAACAACCCTTGGCGTCTCTATCAACAATGAATGGGTGGCATTCTCAACCTCAATCAGAACACGATCAGTGCCTGTAGGCTTTAGTCCAATCGCTGAATTGATTGTGGAATTGGCGAAGAAACATCAGCATAACCACCTAGAGAATTGTTTGAGCCGTAGAGATTTGCGATGTCTTCATCACCTTGTAAAATCCGGAACTGTGCAGCTGAGTTCTATACTTGTGAGTGAGATTATCTCGATCACTCTTGTTGAGCAGACATTTCTGCTTCTTCATCAGGGAGAAATGTACCATGGGGTCGAAGACAATGCAGGGGATACGGAGGACGGTGAGGAACTGAAGAGAGCAACAGAGGTGAGTATGATACAGCACTGGCGTATGTTCAATGACATAGTCCGTGCAAAGACATTAGCTTTGTAAGATCATGGAATCGCATGTGAAAGGCCAAGATATAGCTAGTCTAGATCTTGCAGAGTGTCTGCATTGCCTCCTTTGTGCTCTGCGACGTCTCTTTGACCACCTTGATGATCTCCTTGAACCTGTCGGATGTTAGCGCACGAACATGAACAACAGCATGCCCGCTTTGCTTACTCAGGCGTTCCTGCATCTCCAACAAATTCATACATGAAGCTCTCGCTCGTAGTGACCACGGCACCTTCATGCCTCAACCTCGCCAAAGCGACGGGCACCTCCTCCTTGTTGCAGGAGCTTACGCCATCAGCAATGACATATACTTTGTGTCCGGATCGGAGGAGATCGAGTGTGGTCTGGGTGACGCAAATGTGGCTTTCGATGCCGACGATGATACAGGAGAGTGGACCGGAGGCATTGAGTGAGTCGAGGGCTTGCTTGACTTCTGGTGTTCTAACAACAGTCAGCAGATGACTTGGGACACACATCATCCATGTTGTAGCTCACATCATAGAAAAGAGTGTCTTGTCAAGATGACAGACTGTCTTGATGCCATCGGGCTGATCCAACTTCAGCTCCGGACATGTCTCGCCCAATCGCGCTCTGTTCTGGGTTGTTGCGAATACGGGAATGTTCAGTAATTTGCCTGACGGTGTTGGTCAGCAATAAGCGCGTGGGGCGAAATGTGTAGCGACAGAAAATGGGCAAGCCAGCCTGAGACCTCTGGGCTGACAATCCGGGGGTTCAAGAGACTGGAGATGCCATGTTGGGTGTCTTATTTGGACTTTGAAAGACGGTGTTGGTATGGGATGAGCAACGCACTTGCTTTGAGCAGCTTCTGTGCAGTCGAAACGACTTTGGGGAATTCATATATAGCAGGACGGAACTTCTCTTGAAGATCGCAGATACTGCGATGGTATTAGTAGGGGAAATAATAGTCGCCGCGGGAAGGCATACAAGAGGGCGGGGTTCGCTATGGTCCATCAGCCCACTGTCGCACGAGATGTTGCTGAGCCGCCTACCAATGCGTCGCTGAGCCATGGCTGAAGAGAATGTTCGATGAGCAGTTCTACGGCAGGTGAAGGACACACTTGGCTGTGCAACGCGTAGGAGGAGAGATGCCATGATAGTCGATGCGCGTATGCAAGCCGCATGCGAACGTGCCTCGGCTAGAAGGAACGACATGGTCGCTTCCCCATCTGTCCAATACGCCTGCCGTACCAATGTCATCATGTGACCAGGCAGAATGCCGGGCATCTGAAACAAGTCCGCCCGTAGACAATTGCCTGCATATTGAGCCCCAATTTACCGCGTCGAAACAAAACCATTCCAAACGCGAGAATGTCCGGCCTCTGACATCAGTACTCAGGAGGCTATACTTGGGACCAGAGGCGCGGGTACCCTGTCCATTACGAGATACCGCCGTTGGTGCTGTCCCTGCGTCTGCTCACGCGGTGATATACCGGCCAGATACAGATCTGACAAGACGGGAAATAGACGTTTGCAGCATGGCTGGTGGTAGACAAAGTCGGAGCAAGAAGGCATGGCGGGCGGTCTGGTCTGACTGCGATGCAACAGACGCCCCTACAATCTCACGAGCGGCCGTCATCCCCTACGACATGGACTGCACGAGACAGGAGACGCCCATGCTTAGCTGGACATGAGTTCTCCAGCTACCAGGAGTTCGTCGGCTAGTCAGTCAGCAAGTCGACTCTCCTGTCTCTGCAGCGTAGTAAGCTGCCATGTCTATAGCGTACTGCGCACGACGGAGTGGCCCGTTGCATACAACCGTCTCCGCACGGTCAGCATGGTCAGGGCTGATGACGGCTGACGGTGTGGCGTGGGCAGTGCTTTTTCCCTTACTCTGTGTTCTGGGCGCGGGGAACGTCACAGGCGCGGTGGGTGGTGATGGTGGTGGAAGAAGGAAGGTAGTCGTGTCTTGTCCGCTGGGCTCGAGGAAGCCAGGTGCAGCAAATACGGCCGCACCCCGCCATGCTGCAGCGCTGAATCTATTGAATTGCGTGTTATATTGTCCATGGAGAAGGCGCCCCTGTCGCAGTCACACGTCCCAAAGCGCCTTAGAGGCAGCCCTGTGCGTTCATCCCTCCTTAGGACCTGCTAGGCGTGGCCCAAATGCTCGAGCCCATGCATGCCGCTGCACTGCAACTAACCGCACATAACCTCTTGCTGTCGAGTTCCTCTTCTTTTGCTGTCCGCAGAGCCTCGATTCCCGACTGCCTCTAGCCATTGTTTAGCGCTGACGGGCGGAACCACAGTCGACGCCGGAGACACTTAGCAGCGACGAGTGCAGACCAGGCTCTCACAGCAGGGGTTCACGCACCAGCATCTCACGACGCCGAATTCCCCGATACTCCTTCACCGTGTGCTTTCACGCATTCCACCAACTGCCTTCACTTGCTCTGGAAGCATCTCCCCATTGCCGACTCCCCCAGGCGCTCTGCACTAGCCCTACGCCGGCCGCAGCCCCTCCCCGAGTACCGCCATTGCCATAGCCAGCGAGCGCCCACTAAAGTTTATGAGCGACCGCCGCCACAACAACCCACAATATCTCTACATACAACACCCCCAGCCCATTCATTCGGACCCTCGCCGGACCAAAGTGCCCTCGCCCGCCCTATATTCTCCCGCCTACTCACCCCTACCGCTCCCTCCGCAGCACCCTCTGCACCACCACCACCACCACTACCTACAGTACGCCCACGTGCCGCCGTACCTGCTGCTGCATCCCTTTCTGCAGCTCGCGCGCATCGACGAAGTGCATCAGCCCGCCTCGCACACGCCCTTCCCCGCCGTAATTGTGTCTCCCCACTCGCTGAGCCCGCCTCCCCAGCGGGACTCAGGCCGCACCCTCTCCAAGAAGCCTCCCGTCAAGACGGCACAGGCGCACACAGATGACACAGATGGGAATAAGGATACACAGCGTAGCGTGCCCACCAGCGCGCCCACGATGACATCAAACCGTCTGCCAAATATGTCGAGCAAACGGGAAGACGCGGGCGCCCAGACGCGCGCCCAGCGCCCGTCTATCGTCTCGCAACACTCGAATTCCGTTCCCTCGACGCCCCTGCAGGTCGCCCGCAAGTACAGCACGCGCTCGCGCTCCCCCTCGCCCAACGGCGGACTGGGCAGCCATTCGCCACGCTCCGTCTCGTCCGAAGCCAACGGCACCATGCCTACGCTGAGACCTGCGCGCCCCTTCAAGTGCAGATTCGAGACCAATGTTGGTATGCTGGGTCGGAGACGCATGCCCTACCAATCAGACGAGATACTGGAAAAGGCCAAGGAGGAGCCAAAGAAGAGCTTGGATCCCAACGAGGACGACAAGTTGAGTGGAGACATGCGGGAGCTGTACGAT